TTTAATACCGGCATCGCGTGACATGACTCATTACAATACCGAAACACATAACAGCGTGCGGCCGACGGATTGAAAACCATTAAAACTGGTTTGAATCGAGTCGGATCCGCAACGTGCTCGCACACGCTTGCGCGCACGTGCGCCTTGTCTCGCAATTAATAATCAAGCATAGACTCGCACTATATCCGTCGTTCGTATACGGATGAGTGCGAGATTATCAGAGATTGATAATGTGTCGGATTAGTTTCCGCATTTTACATCTACGTAATGCCGTCGTCAATGTAACGAGAAAAAGTTACAATTCTTCACTATAGACGCTGCTTGCTGCATTCGCTGCACGTCGTGATAGCGAACGGGCGGCTAGGCACATCGGATATGCATATAATTCACTCATTCTCAGACCTCCACGATGATTCACACGTGATGTACATAATGGGAGGATATTTGGGAGCGGTGTGTTTGCACGCGAACCCGCTTTGCGAGTACAATGCTTATACCGATTACAATGACACTTTTTCAGCTCGAGTGGGACAGTGACTGCGCGGGAACAGTTCGCGAAACAATCGTCAGCCAGGGGACGCGAGCACACTCGAGAGCTTACACTTATTCTCCTATTGACACTCCTCGGCGAATCGTGCTATTTTTTAACAGATGAGCGCGACTGTGCAGGTTTTAATGGTCCCCGGGAGTAGAAACAAAATGATCGCATACCGAGAGACAACACACGGGGTGTATATAACTGCGAGCGATCGAGCTTACCGTTTGACATACAGAACCGACAGCGCTTATAAAGTTGTTCCTATCCGCGACAACAGCCTCTCTCTCTGCCACTGTCCGCGCGCGCATAGATGTACCAGCATCTCAATCACTTGTGCAAACTGAGGAGAGATTCCCGGTCTTCGACTGCGTTGGGAAACGAGAAAAGGCGCGAGCGAGCGAGCGAGAGAGCGAGAGCGAGAGAGAGAGAGAGAGAGAAGAGAGAGAGAGAGAGAGAGCGAGAGAGAGAGAGAGAGAGAGAGAGAGAGAGAGAGAGGGAAGCGAGTGACAGAAAGAAAGGAAGGGGGTGAGCTAGAGGTTTAGATGCACGCTACGTAATCTCTTCGCAGTTCACGTTGTGTGTCTCCGGGGAGTATAAAGCCGAGGAACAGGTTCCCGTGCCGTCACGCTTTACATGCAGGCATTTACACAACGCCGAAGATGAGTATACAGCGACCTACAATGACGGGCGCGTGAAGCGCCTCGAGCCCGCCGCGGGCCGTGCCCGACGTACCCTAGAACCCGGCTCGGTGCGTGTTTGCATAAGAGCCCATCAGTGTTTGCGTGCCAGGCACCGCGAGAGAGAGAGAAGAGAGAGATAGAGAGAGAGAGAGAGCGAAAGAGAGAGAGAGAGCGCGCGCGAGAGAGAGAGATGAGAGAGAGAGGGAGAGAGAGAGAGAGAGGAGAGAGAGAGAGAGAGAGCGAGAGAGAGAGAGAGAGAGCAGAGAGAGAGAGAGAGAGAGGAGAGAGAGAGAGAGAGAGAGAGGAGAGAGAGAGAGAGAGAGAGAGAGAGAGGAGAAAAGGTCAGTGAGAGATAGAGAGAGAGATCAAAGAGAGAGAGAGAGAGCGAGAGAGGTCAGAGAGAGAGAGAGAGATAGAGAGAGAGAGGGAGAGAGAGAGAGAGAGAGAGAGAGAGAGAGAGAGAGAGAGAGAGAGAGAGAGAGGGAGAGAGAGATAGATAGATAGAGAAGAGGATCAAGAGAGAGAGAAAAGAGAGAGAGAGAGAAAGAGAGAGGAGAGAAGAGAGAGGAGAGAGAGAGAGAGAGAGAAGAGAGAGAGAGAGAGAGAGCGGACTGCGCTAAGGAAGGAAGGTCGCGCGAGCCGGGCACCGTAAAATGCAGGAGTAATCATGTAAGAGGTCGAGTCAAGTAGCATCGGCGATACGCGACGCCTTGTAAGACCTAATCACATCAGCATCTGCAATCAGCCGCATGGCAAATCAGCCGTACATACTACAGCCGGACCCGCTGGGGCGATGATAGTGTCGCACGCGCAGGGAATAGTAGGCTATGCCCATCTAACAACTAGTCTGCGGGCTGCCAGGCCGAGTGGACATACTACACCATAGATAGTTCTAGAAGCAACTCACTATCAGTAGTTCAGAGGTAACGGGCCACGCGAGTGGCAGTAAAGTCTAAGCGATGTAAGGAGGGCGTACGACTCATACACGTTCGCGATCGTAAACGGATGTAGTAGTATGGAACTGCCTGCATGTCCAAACGAACGAGAGCGCATGTACGTAGTGCGCTGCCTGCATGTTCCCGCGTGGCCGAGCGGCATGTTTATGTGCCGGTGTCGTAATGACTACTTGGACGCTGTTACGGCAGCAACGGCCTCGCAGCGTGTGTTTATGGCGTTGACGTGCCGACTTCGGGGGGTCTAGTAGTTACGGAGCACAACATAAACCGGAGATATCGGCGCAGACTGCGAAGCGATATTTCCAGAAATAACAAGTCAGCTGGCGATTAAACCATCTAGAAGGTTCGGTCCTGATAGCGCCGCACCGGTGCATGGGCCGTGATGTTCAAACACCACGATGCGCATGCAGTTCGGCTGTTCGCACTGCGGCGATATAAACTACGGCCGCGCATCACATATCTTGGCCCGGGTAGCTTGATTCGAGTGGGCAGATATCAGCGACTGGGCTGCTGCGCGCAAGCTGCTGCGAGGAGCGAATACACATCTTTAGTCATGCTTCTTTGTATACAGCTTTGGCTATTTCTTAGTGCGCTTGGCCGTGGCGAAACTAGCACAGTGACCACGCCGTCGACAGCATGTTTACGGTAAAATTCCATATTATGTCTCGCCACTGGTTTCACCTCAGCCTGTTTTGGCTTGCATCTATGACCAAATACGACATACGCATACACGCTCTGCCTATGACACTGATTGTCATAGGAAGATTCTTGCCTATGAACATATATCTGGTTGTATGTGTTGTGGGCGATCATAGGAGTTTTAGGAGCGCTATTATTGACGCAAGCAGTGATATTTCAGCTGTACAGAGCCGGAACGAAGTTGACTGCGCCAAATATTTTGGTCATAGGGAAGAATCTTCGCTATGACAAATAGTGTATAGGAGAGCGTATATGCGTATGTCGTATTTGTCATAGATGCAAGGCAGAACTGTTGGCGTACGATTGTAGGCCATGAATCGGCGATACGCTCGCATTGGTGAGTGGCGTGATAGTCGACTTAAAATCGTAATTTTTTAGAAGGCGCGAAGCCGTAAAAACTTCAGGCCCTACGTAAATGCATGCGACGGCTGCAGTCGATGCTTAATCGCCATCTATCACGTTTGTTTCTGATAAGCGCCTGATGTTCATCTCACAAGTGAGCCCCGTCCCTGCCACGCCTGTAATAAGTTGAGCCATGAAGACATTTCTTTCCAAACGATTCACCTCACGATCGGCAATTCGGCGCGAAAAAACCCTGTTAGGGCACAGGGCTCCTAACGTCGATTTTGCCTGCTGGCGCAGTTCAATAAGCGGGAAGTCACGACTTTAGATTAACGGCGCCACTCTCGTACGAGCCGTCATTTAGTCAGAGAAGACTGCTATATGTGAGGCGAAGTGAGATTACCGCGAACTTGCTCCGCCGCATGGATCATTAAAATAGTGCTGCGGGTACGTAGCAAGTTACGTTCATAGCGTTCTAAGCTGTTGGTCGGCGATAACGACACCGATAGAGAATGGGAGCGTGCTATTAGTTTATTACAAATGCCATTAGACAGGCTGCGGGGTTTATGCTCCCTGCCCCCCCACCACACGACACACGCGTACAAAGACTGTTCTCATTTCAATCTCGTCATGTGGGGAATCACGCACAGGCTATGTGGCATGGAGTGGGAGACGCACGCACAGTGGCTATGGCCGGCCGCGGTTTAAAATGAGA